GGGAGGGGAGGCGGGCGAGCGGAGACCGAGGAGAGAAAGCCTTTCCTTCAAAAGCCCCAAAGCAAATAGAGGCAAGTATCCGGCCACCGACAAGCTTCCTGCTGCGTGGCCATGCTGCCACCTTCTGGCATAAATTGGAAATTCATGAGAAAATGCGGCCTCTGTCATTCAATAGATGAAGCAGGAAGATGTGATCCCACATATCAACAGAGTTTAAATATATATCTCTCCAAGGTATACCTGAGATCTATTTAAACTAGAATTAAATATATCTACTTTTCAAAACCCTCCCTTTCAAAATATACCACTGGTTAACCGGATAATTATAGAAACTCCTTCAATGGTCTTCCTATGTGCATGCATGCCCCCCACCTCCCAATCCATCCCCCCACTCAGCAGCCAGAGTCTCCTGCCATTTGTGACAACATGGAAAAACCTTGAAGGCCTTGTGCTAAGTGAAATCAACCAAACGGACAAAGACAAAGTCTGTGTAGCTCTTATTTTTTGGAATAGATACAGACTCGTGGATACAGGGAGCAGTGAGGGGTGTTTTCAGCAAAGACAGGGCCGGGACTGACTGCAGTGTCACTGGGCTGACTCCCTGGCCTGCCGGGAGGGAGGGCTCAGGCCTCAGTCAGCCGCTGCAGCGCGAAGAGGGTCGCGTACAGGACAGACAGGCGCTCCTTGGATTCCGGCTCCCAGGTCGACATGGTCAGCTCCATCTTCAGGCCGCACTCGCCCAGCAGGCCATAGGTTATGGCCAAATCCTCCTCCTGGAGTGGGGCGAGGAGCTTGGGTTGGAGGGTGAAGGGAATGCTATAAGAGCATTCGAAGTGGGGCTCCAGGATGCTCCTCACCTTGAAGAAACAGTACCAGATGTTATGGGTCAGCCTTTGAGGTCAGGAAGAGAGAGCCTTTGAGCCAGGGGTCATGCAGGGCAACTACAGGGGCAGGAGGTTTGGAGTCACATCCGGTCCTGTCTTGTGATCAGTGTGACCACGGACATGTTGTTGGAAATCACTGAGCACTGGTTCCTCAGCGGCTAGATAGTGATCCTGACACTTATCCTGCAGAATAGTGGTATTTGGACTTACGTATGTATGCTCACATGTGCAACATGTACATGTACATGCATATGTCTATACACATAGGTACTTACATATATACATACATGCAGAGAGAGCGCAGGCAATTTGCAAATGGTAACCGTGTGAGTAAAGCAGGGGTGTAACTCAGGTCCCCTGAGCTCCCCAAACCTGTATTCCTACAGGGCTATTTCAGAGCTGGGGGAGGGGCCCTCTGTGGGGTTTGCCATGGAAACTGAAACCTTCCCCAGGTAGACTCATGCCCAGTGGGCCTGCTCCCCAGAGGGAGATGCAGCTCAGATTTCCTGGGGGCCATGCTGGGACCTCGCCTCTCCTCCCAGCAGCAATCTGAGTCATCTCTCCTTTCTCAGAATCAGTCTTATCTCGGTTCCCTCACCCTCTTCCAGGGACAAAGGCCCCTGGGGATTTCTCACCAGATCCCGCTGCTGGGCAAGGATCTTCCTCTCCATGGACTGGGCCAGCAGGTCATGTTGGATGTCACTCAGCACTGGGAACAGGGGAGCATTTGGGGAAAGAGGGTCAGATTTTCTTCTTCCCACGGTGAACTAATAGACCCTTAAGGGGTGAACTCTAAGGCAGAGGAATAAAACTTGTTGGACTTGAAGGTCAAGTTCCCTGCCCTGGAAAGTCCTCCTTCTGCTCTTGGGATGGTCTCCAGGATGCTACCTAACATGGGCCAGAGGGTGGGTTTCTATGGCCGGAGCCTGGAATCACCCACCCCCACTGATAGGTTGGATGAAACTGGCCTGGTCTTTGTAGGCCTCAGGCTCTGTCACTTGGCAAGTTTATCACACTGAGCCCTCCTGACCTTGGAGAGACATGATGTGAGGGTGAAAAATCATAACATTTGAGCCCGGCCGGGCGTGGCTCAGTGGTTGAGCTTCGACCTAGAATCCAGGCAACCAGGGTTCATTCCCAGTCAGGGCACATGCCCGAGTTGTGGGCTCGATCAATGACTCTCTCATCATTGATGTTTCTACCTCTCTCTCCCCCTCTCCTTTCCTCTGTCTGAAACCAATAAAGATATATTTAAAAAACAAAAATAAATAAAAAAATTAAAAATCATAACATTTGAAAGGGTAGGAGAAGTAACATCTAATGCAGCTCTTCTGGGTGACCTGGGGGACCAACCTTGTCACTCCCTCATTCTTCTTCCAAATTACTTACTCATTATGGCTTCAAGCAGGTAAAGGACAAGCTGCCGCTTTGAGGCATACCATGGATCTCTCAAGTCCTGTCGCAATCCACTTAGGATGGTGCCACCAGGGCCATTCAAGTGACCAAAGGGTTCCTGTTCAAGCTATAAGACATGGGAATTATTAATGATGAAAACAGTATCATGTGATTTTTGCCCATGTGTCTATAAGTGATTAACCAAAGAGTGGGGGTAATGGCTCAATGCACCCCCAGGGGGTACTGAGCACCCTCAGTCTGTGAGGGCTGCACTCCTTGGCCCTGGTCATTGGACATAAGGACATAGTCCCCAACCTCAGACACCCTTCTCATCCCCCTAAGGCTACCCCCATTCTTCTTTCCCCCATATATATATCTTGACAGTCGTATCTCCGAAACATCCCCCATTCATAAGTTTCATCAGCCTTAGGTAGCTGTGGGATCCTCACTGTGTCCATGAGATCCTGAAGAGCCTCTCGGTCCCCAAGCATGACCTGGATATTGGAGAACACAACGTCCTGAATGTCCTTTGAGAGCTGGGCCACTTCTACTTTCTGGGAAACCTCCTCTTGTAGGCACTTGAAATCTGCCCTCAGACATTAATGCCAACCAGAAAATGGAGCCAAGTCTCAGATTAGAACATTCCTTTCCCATCACCATGAGCAAACTCCCTCTTCTGTCTAAATTGCTGAAGATGGCATGTCTGAGTTCTGGGGTGAGGCTGTCGTAATAGGCTAGAAAGATGGAGAATCTCAGCTGAAATGAGGTGGGGGTAAATGCAGAGGGGAGAGGAGAGGATCCAGGAAAGGGTCATGGGAAGCTGACCAGGTGCTCGTTTCTGGGACACGTCTGAAGTAATGTGGGTTCTAGATTGGACTCCAGAGATGAGAATGGTTCTAACATTGGACTCAAAAATGGGGCTGTCAGGACAGTTATATGAATTTATGGATATCAAGTGCTTGGTACTACATGCAGTTGTGCCACATCTTCTGGGTCTATAAAGAATTAACGGAGGAGTGATGTTGGGGGCTGTCTGCTCCTACTAGGATACCTGAGGTGGCCTCAAGGTGATGTTCTGAAAGTGAGAAGTTACTAGAATGGAAGCTGCAGGGAGGAAGGCATTTCTGTTTGGTTCACTGCCTACCCCCAGTGCTCAGATTAATGCCTGCTGACAAATGAGCCCTCAGAAAATGTTTGCTGCATGCATCCTCAAATGAAAGAAAGAAAGAAAGAAAGAAAGAAAGAAAGAAAGAAAGAAAGAAAGAAAGGTGGGGCTGAGCAAAGTGTAATTTAGAAGTAAAGCTAGTTTTCTGGGTAGCTTGGAAACCTCTGATTTCAGTTCTGACCTTTGCCATTTCCTACCTAGCAGGCGTCAGGTTCCCTCTTAGGAAGCACTCACCCAGGCAGGAGGGTTTCCATACTGTTTCAGAAAGAGAAAGGCAAGCGGTCATCTCCCTTTCTCATCCCCAAAATTTGCTTGAGAGACACTTCCGAGGGCTCTGCCCTCTACTGCCTCCTTCCTCTTTCTGCTCCATCCTGGTCCATCCCTCCACATTACTGACCTTCCCCATTCCATAGAAACTATGGCCAGGCCCCGGGGTCATGGTGGCAAAGGCAGGGACTCTGCCCTGCTCCCCAGACGAGTACAGTGAGGACCCCTCCCCAACCCCAGCAAACACACATTCTCCTATTGGGAGAATGGAATGTCCTTTGCTGACTAAAAGAGAAATTAAATTCCCCACCCAAGAGTTAGTCTCTGAAGACTCTTAGTTTTTCTATATTCTGCTCCCAACTCCCAACCCCTCTTTTCCATCCACCCCTGCCCTTTGCCCGAAGGGCCCGAGCCCACTGGCTCAGTGAGGACAGCAAAGGCAATCACGTGGGGTTTCAGTTGTGCAAAGGGGGGCCTCATGGAGGGTTCCCATCTCACTTGCCTAGCTCTTTAGTGCTCGATCTACAGGACAACTTCACTTCCACTGTAAAGAGAAACAGAAGTGATCACTCACCATGGCTTAGTCTCCGCTCCCCCAACACACACACACACACACAGTCCTACCCCAGCACTCAAAAGAGAGAGGTGGCTTTGGGTCACAGCAGGGGAGACAAGGACATGGTGGAGGAGCCTGGCCGGGGAAGGTTTCCCTGTGGGTCTGTAGGGGCTGAGCCCCAGCAGGGTTTTATGGGTGTCCAGAGGGGGTCAGGGCTCAGCGGGGCCTGAGGTGCAAGCAGAGAACCTGCCCAACTCACCATCTTGAAAGGTTTCTTGTTCATCATCATCTGCGACGTGAAGAATGTCTGGTGGGAAGGAGCCAGCTCAGCAGAGCCGAGGGTGTCCCTGCTGGAGTCTCCCACATCCCCCACCCGTGGCCCCCACACTCCCTCCTCCAGCCAGGTGGGGCAGCTTTTCTAGGGTGGCCTGGGGACCCCTTGCAGCAGAATCGCCTGGGACGCTTGTGGAAACCGGGAGCCCCTCACCTTGCCCTGTATCTTCTGCATCAGGCTAAGAACGAAGCTAGAGCCTGCGTCTTCAATAAGCACCTGGCTGATGGGTATCCCTCTAATCTCACCCTGGACAACTGCCTTTTCCAGGGAAAGGAAACCGGCTTCCTTCCGGCAGCCCTTTGTCTTACTCTCCTGGAGGCTCCTCCATCATGAAGCTATTCCCAGTCCTGCCCTCTTCCTGGGCGATTTCACATTTCATGTAGTGAAATGTTCCAAGTTTTGAAACTTCTAACAATCAGATTTAAGTGTTTGACAAGGGAAGAGGAGCCCTTGAAGGGAGGAGACAGAGTGGAAACAGTCCCAAGAAAGGAGGCCCCACAGGTCATGGTGTCGCAGTGTCCAGGGAGACAGGAGCTCCAAGCTGGAAGAACCCAGTGCGTGGTTGTTGATGAAACGGGGAGCAATTGGCTGGAGGACAGTCTGCAGGGGTCCGGGCATGGATGCCAGGGAGGGAGGGAGCAGCGTATAGAGGATTTTTTAAGGAAGCTGGCGGTGAGAGGACACTGGGTGGGAAGAGGAGATACTTGGGTGGGGGGTTTCTGAGATGGCAGAGACCTGATCCCGTCGTCAGGTCAGGGGAAGGGTGCGGGTGAACTGGAGAGAGGGAAGATAAATTTAGCTCAGCCACCTTGCCAGACATTTACCTCCAACAGCTCTGGAGAGAGGGTCTCGTTTCCATTCAGAGATAAGATGAGTGACAGAGGAATTCTGGTTTCTCTAGTTACTCAGCAAGTGCTGCGGCAAATCGCTAACCGGGTCCGCTCAATATTTTTCTCTCCGATTTGTTATAAGGATGAAATTCGTTCATGGAAGTCACCTTTGGGCCTGAACCTTAGGAGCAGCAAGCTCAATGCGCCCCCTAGTGGGCTGGACATGACTTGCAGGCACTGCTGTGAGATTAGCCTTTTGGGTTCAACTCCATTTAGCTCACACTTGACACCACTTATAAAACATAATTTTGCATCTTGAGTTGAGCACTGACCCCACAAGATTGGAGAGTTCAGCCTCATTCTAGCTATTGCCATTGAAAGGAGGTCATTGACAGCAGGGCGTGAGTGTGTGTGTGTGTGTGTGTGTGTGTGTGCGCGTCAGAGAGAGAGAGAGAGAGGAAGAGAGGGGAGAGAGGGTGAGGGAGGGAGGGGGAGAGAAATAGAGGGAGAAATGGAAAGTTTTGGTTATGTGTGGTGAGTGCACTGCCCCCCCCCCCAAATGTCCAACAAGCTGGCCCTCAGCTGTATCAGGCTGACCTCTACCTGAGACTCAATATTTGGGCAGAGAGGAGCCAAGGACCCTGAGCTGGTTGTGTTCACAGCACCCACTATTCCACCTGGTTTGTATTTTCTATCTGATGCAAATGGTTCTCCTGTGTGGAGTCAGAATCCGAAGTGTGTGTATTGGGGAACTGTGCACTTTGAGGCGAAGGAGGGAGGGAGGGATGTAGATACAATTCTGCATTACGTGGTTAGCGCACTGTGTCCGCAGTTTTGTTTGTGGCTGTGACGCTATGTTATGGACTTACTGTGAGGTTATGGGTCACCTGGAAGGGTTCTGTGGCTCCACCAGGTAAGCTGCTGAAAGTGGGGGAACCTTGACTAGAGATGGGTGGGATTAGGATCATGCTTTGCCCAGTGCTAAGGACACCTCTGCGTTGGGCATTCGTTCTGTCCCTCTCCATATAGGATCCTGTCTCTGCCTCCTCAGAGCAGGATTTCAGTAGGGCCCTGCTTGGAGGTGGCTATGGGTGGTGGGATGTGTGTGCCCTGGACAGCTGAGAAATGCTGCTTCTCTCTGAACAGACATTTACCTCCAAGGTAGAGAAGCCAAGGTTGCCTGATGATGGTCTTTCCCTTCTGGTTTCTCTTCCCAGGAGAAGCATACCCCTGTTCCCCACCCGCCTCCTTCAGCCTCTGCTTACCCCAGCCTTCCTTCTTGAAAACCAGCTGCTTCCTCTTATAGGCCAACACCGAGCCCTGGGGCACAGTCAGTGTTTTCTCTCCCAGTCTGAGAGCCCCTCCCTGTCCTTTACCCTGGGGACAGAAACCAGGAGATACAGTCATACATGCATGTGGTTTTAAAGTCAAATACATCTAGAAAGCTCTTGAGAAAAGGAATCAGCAGACCCCTGCCCTCACCCTCTTCATTCCTGATTTCTAGTTCCTGCTCTTTTTACCTTGTTTCATCCCATATTTACCTTCACATCCCTCAATTTCGTGTTGATACTGCAATGATTTTATTTTATTTCAGATTCAAGTATATCTAGTCACTTTCTCTTTTTGATGATGAGGGCTTCATTTTATTACTCTTTATAAGAGCCAAAGCAATTGATAAAAGGGAAATGCCCTACTCCTGCCTCTTCTAGTTTTCCATGCAGGGCAAGGGAACTATCCAACTCTGGTTCCCTCTACCCATCTGTCACATACAAGGGGGAAGAGAGTATTGAGAAGCTCTTGTGAGTTCACAGCTCAGGGTTACTTAAAAACAAACAAACAACAACAACAAAAACTGGGACCTATTCATGGGACTATGGAATACTTCCCTTCTCGTACATCTTCTCACCATGTCACTAAAGGCCGACTTACCAGTTCCTTTTATCACTCATGTCCTGCCAACTTTCAACAAAATAAAAATTACAAGGCATATTCAAAGGCAGCAAAAAACATTTGGAAGAGATTGAGCAAGCTGAGAATCAGACCCCATTATAACAAATTGGAATTCTTAGACTGGGAATTTTAAGCAAGTATGATTAATTTGTTGAAAGATCTAATGGAAAGCATAGACAAAATGAAAGAGCAGATGGGTAATATAAGCAGAGAGATGAGAAAAATTTAAAAAGAAATGCTAGAGAGGTAAAAAATACTACAACAGAAAAAAAAGAATGCCTTTATTTGGCTCATTAGTAGACTGAACACAAGTGAGAAAACAACCTCTGCACTTGATGATATCTCAACAGAAATCTCAAAACTGAAAAGCAAAGAGAAAAATGACTGAAAAAATGAAACATAATATCCAAGAACTGTGGGACAACTACAAAAGTTGTAACATACATATAATGAGAATATAAGAAGAAGAGGGAAAGGAACAGAAAAAATATTTGAAGCAATAATAACTGAGGATTTCCCCCAAATTAATGTCAGACTCCAAACTACAGATCCAGGAAGCTCAGAGAACACCAAGCAAGATAAATAAAAATAAATTTAAAAATCTTAGACCTATGAATTCAAACTGCAGAAAAATCACAGATAAAGAAAATATATTAAAAGTAAGGGGAGCCCTGGCCCATGTGGCTCAGTGGTTGGGGCATCAGCCTGCACACCGAAGGGTTACAGGTTCCATTCCCGGTCAAGAGCACATTCTTGGGTTGCAGGTTCAATCCTGGGCCCCATATAATTTTTAAAAATCCTGACCCATCTCTTGTCCGACTGACCACAACAGAGTGATGAGCCGCGCCCCAGGGGTGACATGCAAACTGCTTGATGACATCACAGCCCGTGGCCAGCACCACCCCGCTGGCTTGAGCAGCGGTGAGAGCGGCACTAGGTGAAATGACACAGGGGTCCCCCGTTCTCAGAAAGCCAGGTTACCAACCTCGGCAGATGGAAGCCCAAGGCTGGACGTCAGTGTACCTTTACACTGGAGTGATGTTTCACTCGGTTCAAACTTCCCTCCTCCAGAACAGCACCACTGACCTTGGGGAAATTAGTTCACAATTCCTTTTTTAACTTGAGTTTCTAACTCTTCTAAGGGAGGGCAATCTACACGCAAAACATATAATGTGTAAAAGCGCATTACTGTGATTGGGACTTGAAGGCATTTAAGTCTCACTCTTTCTATCAATTCTTCTCAGGCGTGACACTTGGGGAACTTCAACGCCTGAGGTTTGCTATTCGTGGCCCCTCATTTCTTCCAGCATAAACCTGGTTGTGTATATAGTAGAGCCACCACCCCTTTAGATTTGCCAGGATCCATCACTTACCCAAAGCAAATGTAATACCACATAAACAAATCTATTTCCTATTTTATCTCATACCTTGAGGAAAGCATTCAGCGGGATGGAGACTTTCCCCAAGAACCTGAGACCGCTGCAATCCTGCAGCACAGCAGTGTTGAGCAGCTCCACAGTCTCGGTCACAACGTACAGGTTGATCGATGCCGCCCGGAATTGTTTCAGAAACGACTCCTCTGGCTCCTTCAGTTTCCTGGGGCGAGAAGAGGGTCAGAGTGGAAAGAGATACCTTTTCGGGTTACCCTGGGTTACCCTCCTCCTCAGGACCTGGAAGGGGTGCAGAGACTTTGGACTTTGAAAGGGGTCCCCTTCATGGGTAGGAAGATATTGGCATGTGGGTTAAGTTACCAAGGAAAGCAAAACACCTTTGCTATGCAGGTGGAGGGGCCCCCATTTTCTGATGGGGGCTCTGGAAGGAGAGTACGCGTGGCATTTTGTGAACGACACCCGCATTTTCCAAAATTATATTGGTCCTGTTGGGGGCCAGTTTATAGATGTCCAGTACCAGGGCCTTGCACCTTAAGAGCTGGGAGTAGACAGGTCCAGAGACAACAGTCCCTAAGGAGCCCGAGAGTCCAAGCTGGGCACCCACACCCACCACGGCCCAGGGCGGGATGGGGAGCATGTTTGTGACGAAGCGGGAGAGCTGCTGGATGTTTCCATGACGAGCGCATGGGGCCGTTTGTAGACTAACTGTCCTTGGTAGGTGGCCGGTAGGCTAACTTGAAGATACAGGTTTGGGCAGCAGAATTACAGTGTGAAGAGCCGCAGACAGGTTTCATCTCCATTTCAGTCCCCAGACTCGTCTCCGGTTCTGCGTAGGGCCCACTTGGTGCCCCGGATAAGAGCCGAGTGGGATGCGGAGAGAGCCTTACATTGCTTTCCAGTGGAGGAGGTCACTGAGCCTCGTGTGGGTTTTCCCATCGCCCTTTGGGGGGAATTCAAGCCCCTTACTGTGTCTCTAAGATGCTGTGTTATCTGACATTTACTTATCTCCAAGCCTCCCTTTTGTCACCTTCACTCTGGCTGGCCAAGCTCCCACCTCACTGACTTCCCACTGCTCCTGAAAACGCCAAGCTCTGTCCTGTTCAGGGCTTCAGACCCCCACCTGGACCACTGTCCTCCTGCTCTGAGTCCAACTGTTAGCTCCACAGAGAGACCTAAATAGACCCCTCCGCCCAGCCCTGCTTCCACAAACTCCTGTTATCACCTCAGAGCTCCCACCAGTGGGTGTGGGTGATTACCTTTAGGTGAAACACTTTTCATGCCCACATCCATTTATTAGAAGTATCTAATTGCCTTTCTTGTCACATTTCAAGTTTTGACTTCAGGCAAGTAATTCTTTTACTTGGTGCTAGATTTTTTTAAAAACTGTATCTTTGAAATTGGAGGTCCTTTAACTGCTGAAAGAAATTTCTAGGACACATTTTACTTTATTTTCCTGCAGCTAAAGAAACCCAAATACTCTTTTACACCATAAAGTGCTTGTAAATGTTGGTGCTAATAAGAGTCTTAAGAGACACCAGAAATACAGAAATTATGCCATGTCCTGTCGAAGTAACTTTTAGTCTCTAAATAGCCTGGGATTTTCACTAGTTGCTCACTTTAGTAATTATTCACATCAATCGAAATCCTTTTTAAATTGAAATCTCTGTTTCTAAAAGGCATAAAGGCTTAAGTTCTTTATTAAGCCCTTAGTGCAGGCGTGGGGAAATTCCAGCCCGCAGGCGGGACTCGAAATTCAATAAATCTAGGAGCTTTTCTCATAGCTTTTTTTTTTAAAATATATCTTTATTGATTTCAAAGAGAAGAAGTGAGAGGGAAAGAGAGAGATAGAAACATCAATGATGAGAGAGTCATTGGTCAGCTGCCTCCTGCACGCCCCCAACTGGGGATCAAGCCCACAACCCAGGCATGTGCCCTGACCGGGAATCGAACAGGATCCTAGGGTGACGCTCCACGACTGAGCCACGCCCAACCGGGCTCTCATAGCTTTTTTAAGTTGGTAATTTTGTAGGGCCGAGAGTGATGTTATAAATATCCAAACAGCCCTTGGGGGAAAAAAGGTTCCCCACCGCTGCCTTAGAGGCTTACTGAAGACTTAAACAGAGTTTCAGAGCCTTTGTCTCACTTAAATTAACCCTTTGTTAACTTATTTTTTTATTGCTTATCTTCTCTATCACTGCATGTCCCCTGCCCCAGTAAATATGTCTTAGGGGAGGGATTTTCATCTGTCTGGTCATTACTCTAGTCTCACCACAAAATAGTATGGTAATGGACAATTGCAGAATTAATGAATACTTATTAGATAACTAATAACCGTGAGTTGAATGAATAAATGTATGCATCCCTAAGAAAAGCAGCATGATCCTATTTTTCCTCCTGAGCCTCAGGGGCAAAATCTACCAGATGCCTCCTTGCCCACGAGAAGACCACCACTTGGGGCCTGTTGACCAGATCCTTCCTCTCCCATGACCTCACCTCTTTTGAATGTCTGGCAAGATGTCCTGTGGGATGGTAACAATGTGACAATCAAAGGAGGATCCTTGGCTCTGAACCGTCCTCTCTGAGAAGCTGGCTTTTGCCCCAGCATCCACACTCAAAGCCACCTGCTGCTTCATGATGTCAGTGTTCCTGAATTGGAATGGCACTTTCACAGCATCTGGAAATGGACAAGGTGGCCTGAGGTTTAGCCAAGAATTCACTCTGGAACAGATGGGACATGGAATGACTGAATCCTAGCTCACCCCACCTCTCCTACTCAATTAAATCTCTCAACCGAAAAGCTAATATTTTGAGTGTAAATTACTCCTGAGGACAAGTGTTTGAATCCACCCAGAGACTGGATAACAGGAACGGTGTCCTAACCCTAAGAAATGATGACGTCACTTGCACCGGGCCTAGGACACCTACTACATTACCTTCCCAGGCACAGCATGGCCTCTGCAGCAGACACGTGTCACCCCAGGAGGTAGCTCACAAAGCAGAAAGTGTCCGGGATTTGGAGCCAGACAGACTTGGGTTTGAGCCCTCCTTCCACCAGTTCCCAGGCATGTAACCCAGAACAATCCTTTTTATAAGCTTTCACTTACTGTTACGTAAAATGAGATCATATTTCTGACGCAAAAGGCTGCTCTCAGTATTACATAAACCTGGGTTCATAATTAGTAAGTGCTCGGATAACCTCAGTTCCTTGCCCCTTGCCCGGAGGCGAGGCCGATCCTGAGGTCGCCTGTGTGAGTGTCTCAGCATGTCTTGCCTGCTGCACCCCTTCTCTCTGCACCCTTGTTTTCAGTCCTTGCACCTGGCTGACAATACCTGGGACCGAACTTGGTTCGAGGATCTGCATGAGGGAGACACCAAGTGGAATATCCTGTGGTCCCCAAAACAGTGACCAAGGTTTCTTCTTCCGTATTAGAGAAAATGGACGTATTTTGGTGGCATCCAGCAAGTTTTTGACAGGTATGAGTGTTTTGTCTCCAACCTCTTTGGCCAGTTTCTTGGCAGTTTTCTCAAACATGGAAGGCATGTTGCTAGGAGAAGTTAGAAGGGAAGCAAGAAGATCAGATGGGTCTTACAGATGAGATTAAATGAGTTTTCATGTGTCATTCAGAATTGACAGTGGCAGAACTTTTCATAGGCCTTTGTCATATCTACAAGGTGAAGTCACACGCGTGTGCAAATGACCCCCATTAGCTGGACCAGGCCCTAGGTCTTTCTTAAATAACTGTCTGTTGGGATGGTCTTTAGTGCCAGATGAGATACCTAGACTGAACTTGCTTAACTTGTTGGAAAAGGTAAAGAGGAGTTAAATTTCCTTTTGAAAATTAGATATACATACTTTTTTTTAAACAACGCGTTGCAACTTTATTAGGTTTTTCTATTTGGTGCCTCCACTGGGAAGCAAACCTGCAACCCTTCAGTGCACAGGATGATGCTCCGACCAACTGAGCCACACAGGCCAGGGTGACATATGCCCTTTCTATGCCACTACAGTTAACGTTAAGCCGGCCACATTGGATGATTGTTAGTCGCCCCCTGGAGGACTGACTTTTCGTGTGTGCGTTAATTTCCTATGTTCAGTGCTGCAAAGCCCGTGCTCCCCCCATTACTCTCCAGAAGAAATAAAATTAGCCATAACCAAACAGGCTACTAAGGACAGTAAGGATTGATACCATTTACCCTCAGGCCAGCTGTTTTTACCAGAGGCAACAGGAAAAACCCTTGTCTCCCAACTGCACCAGAGCATTCATCTAGGACAATCTAAATTATCAGAACCCCTAAGGGAAAAATATTTTTTTATTAATCAGAAAACCATAATAGAATCAATCACCAGGTGTTTAGCCTGTGCCGAGGTCAACGTCAGACAAGGAAAACACCCTCCCCTAGGCGTACGAGCACAGGGATCCACACCTGGAGATCACTGGGAGCTTGACTTTACAGAAGTCAAGCCCCCATTGGCTGGGAAAAAGTATCTCCTAGTTTTAGTAGATACCTTTTCAGGTTGGGTTGAAGATTTTCCCACCGAAATGAAACTGCCCTTACGGCAGTCAGAAAGCTCCTATCTGAAATAATTCCTAGATTTGGCCTACCCATATCCCTAGGATCAGACAATGGAATGGCCTTCATGGCCCAAATATCCCAACTCTTAACAAAAGTCTTACACATTAATTGGAAACTCCACTGGTCCTATTGACCTCAGAGCTCAGGGCAGGTTGAACATATGAACAGAACCCTAAAAGAAACCTTAACCAAACTTAGTCTAGAGACCGGTGAAAACTGGACCAATCTGTTACCCCTAGTTCTCCTATGGGTTAGATGCACTCCCTACAAGGTGGATTTCACCCCCTTCGAAATTATGTTTGGAAGGCCACCCCTCTTCTTCCCCGGTTACAGGTGGAACCGTTAGCTGAAATCCATAACACCTCTCTACTTAAGCTTCTCCAAACCCTACAGGATACCCAGGCTAAAGTTCTCGACAAGTTCGCCAGGTTCTCTCCCTACTCTCCTCGGACCCTGTACACTCGTTCCAACTTGGGGACACGATGTGGATTAAAACTACCTGAAAGACGGACTACAACCTACCTGGCAAGGGCCCTTCCTCATGATTTTAACCACACCTACAGCAGTCAAGGTCCACGCCTCTCCGCCTGGATCCATCACTCCCGCCTCAAGGCAGCAGACCCCAGATGGACGTCCCAGCCGACTGGCAACCCGCTCCAAATAAGACTAAAAGGGGAGGGTTCTCCTTCTTAATATCTATAACCCTTATTTGTCTCATTTGGTCCCCGATATCTGTATCTGGGGCATCCTATTATTAAAAAATCCAAAATAGCGTCTCAGGGGCGGTCTTAGCTAACACCTCAGATCAGGACCAGCCTGGACCTTTTCAGCTTGACCTATGTTCTTTTTTCAGAACTAATCAGAAGCTGGGGTGCTGGTTCAACTGCAAGGAACCTGACAGCGGTCTCCAAAACACTGGCATCTCCCTCTGCCAGGAATCCCCCCAACACATGCGATTGCTTAAATTTAGGTCAATTCTTCCGTCCTTCTTGGGACTGTGAAACCCTCTCCACTCAGTGGTCCCCTAACAACCCAGACCAGTGCCTACGCCTCACTAGAGGAACAGTCCCAGATCCCAGAATGTGCAGCAGGGGAGCCTGTAATCCACTTACCCTCCAAGTCCACAACCCTCACACAGATCCTGGCTCACAGGCCCCACTTGGGGACTTCAGCTCTATCTAACTGGCTCTGCTCCTGGAGCTCTCTTCACCATCCAAAAAAAGGCCTAACCTCCAGCCAAAACGGCCCATAGGACCCATAGCCGAGCTAAAACTTCCCATTCCTACAGTACTACCAAGACCCTCTATCCCAGCCTACCCAGAGCAACAGTATAAGGCTACTAGTCCAGCACCCGCAGAGGCACTAATCCAGCACCGCAGAGGCACTAATCCAGCACCGCGGAGGCACTAATCCAGCACCACAGAGATACTAATCCAGCACCCGCAGAGGCACTAATCCAGTACCGCAGAGGCGCTAATCCAGCACCGCAGAGGCGCTAATCCAGCACCACAGAGACACTAATCCAGCACCCGCAGAGGCACTAATCCAGCACCGCAGAGATACTAATCCAGCACCCGCAGAGGCGCTAATCCAGCACCGCAGAGATACTAATCCAGCACCCGCAGAGGCGCTAATCCAGCACC